CAGTTGTTGCGGTTCGCGATTTGATTCGTTATCGCGACTGCTGCCATCGCAATTATCATAGCAACAGCACTTACGATTTCGCAAGTCCAACTTGAAATTGGCCCGTGAGTCAATTTATTTTCTTGATTAAATCAAGAATTGCAAAACTGAATACTTTGAAAACTTGCAGACGTTTTGAACTTATTGTAAACATGGTAAATTTTTAAGTAAAATGTATGTATATCAACCCCAAAAAATTGATGACGTCTTGTAAAAATTTTGCCGAATAAATCCTACCTAAAATGTGTAAAATATGATCAGTCTATACCAGTGGCGGCTCGTGAAGTTTTCTTCAGAGGAGGCTCAAATTTGAAAAGCACTGCTTTTGATATCTTTCATTATCTGATTTTTTTTTTCATGCCCACGAAAAGAACACTCCTGCGTTGATAGATAAATAAACTATTGCATCGATTAGTCTTTTCAAAATTGCTCTATTTTCACCAACTTTCTCGTTATTGTTCTCAATATCCCTCTTATGAGCGCAATCTAAAGTAGTAGATGTGATTTTTCATGTCTTTCTATAGCTCTTGACAAATTTTGTAAATTATTATAGCCTGTTTTATCCCAAACGGAAGATTTATCACTTGTGAATAATACACAATTCCAACAGTATAATTTGTTTCTTAAAACCGAAGCTGTTAACTATATAGTTTTATTATAATAATTATTTTCATGAAATGCTCTGTTTTGCTTTCTACCTGTCACTACTATTAATGGGAGTGGTGGTGTTGGTCTCCCCTTTTTTTAATAGATAATTTACGTATCTGCACATGAGACTGAATTATTTTCGTTGCTCATTCTCGTTAAATTTAAGCAGTGGCGGCTCGTCAGGGGAGGCAGGGGAGGCAGTGCCTCCCCTGGAAAAATTGACTATTAGTTTTTGTTTTAATATCTGTTAACTTCAAATATATTTTACAGATATAGCAAATAACTTTCATGGAACACTGTGATTTATTAAAACGCGTCTTGGTATAAAACATATTTTGAAGTACGCGCTTTCGACAGGAATAAGCGCTGATCACCGCCGTGTAGGCCAGCTTCAGACAGAGGCATGCCTCAGAAAGACGGATATCTTCAGTATGATTAGTCAGTGGCGCTAATATGTTTTTGAGTAAGACAATAGTCATCAGTGCTTTATCAAAGCGCCAGCGGAGGCACCAACGCCTACCGTCCTTAAGCCAATCAGATCGGATTTTTTAATCTCACGGTGAAACTGCACAATGCTGAACAGGGATGCTGAATGCATTTAGTGTGCATTTAGTTGTGCATTAATTAGACGCGAGGAAAGGTGTTCACTGCATGTGCATTGCCAAGGTTGTGTATTAAAACTTTTAAGTTAACTTGAACAGAGTAGGACAATGAAAATGTCAGTTTTGCAATTCTGATAGCAACATAAGAATCTATAATCTCCAGAATTTCTTATAAAGTTTAAATATTTAAGCACGGTTTTCTTACGACGAACAAATGTATGTCAAAGATTTAGAACCTCTCATCCAGATTTGAGGAGAACTTTATTAATTAATTGATTAATATATTTAAATTAGCCCTAGATCATATGAATTAATATTTAATGCTAAGAAAGCAAATTCTATAGTCTTTAAACCTTCTCGTTGGTTTGTGTGAAGCAATTAAATGTTTTTTATTCGAGAAGTGTACTCATATAGAATAGAGATGTGTTACTGACTCAAAGCTATTTGTATTGTTTTCATAAAAACGAATAAACAATCTGTCTTTTAACAAAAGTAATTGCCAACATGTTAATTAATACCTGCTGATTTTGAAACGAAATTGTTGCCTCACCTAACGAAAGGACCACGAGCCGCTACTGAATTTAAGTAATATTAATACGCCGATAATACCAACTGTTTTTAACGATCAGAAATAAAATGCAAATAAATGATACAAAAAACACCTTAGGCTTTACGTAGGTACCACGTAAAGCCTAAACACCACTCACCACTGAATAGGGAGCACGCGAAACCACCTCAATGTTTTTCCTATTTACACCCGATGGCGCCAATTAATAAGAAAGAGATAAAATTATCCGTGCGACTTGATCTGAAAAAGAGATGAACTAGCCGGAGGCTAGCAAGATGCATTCTCGGCGGAGGCTAGCTTCTACCGCTGAAGCCAAACGCGGAGTGGTCTGAATTATGATTGTAAGGGCGCAAATATAATTTTTTTCGACATTTTAACCTGATATATGATGAAAGTAAATTAAATCAAACAAAATATCCTGAAAAGTAACAAATGTCTACAAAAATACAAATTCTTTCATCGGAAAAATTAGAGGAAGCTCAGCTCCAAAAAACAGAGGAGGCTCAACCTCCCCTGCCTCCTCTGAGGAGCCGCCACTGGTCTATACTTGTAATTTATGATTGTATTCATATTTTTTAAATTTACTTATTCAGAATGACTCAAAAAATTAATTAATGAATCAGTCGATTTATTTTATTGAATAAATCAAGAATTGCAAAACTGAATACTCAAAAAATTAATTAATGAATCAGTCGATTTATTTTATTGAATAAATCAAAAATTGCAAAACTGAATACTTTGAAATCTTGCAGACGTTTTAAAGTTATTGGGAGCACGGTAAATTGTTAATCAAAATATATCTGTTCCCCCCAAAAAATTGATGACTTCATCTCAAAATTTTGCCGAATAAATTCTATCCAAAATATGATGAGTTTTACTTTTTTAGATTTGTTTAAACAAGCGGCTCAAAAAAAATGAATGAGTCAATTTATTTTATTGATTAAATCACGAACGGCGCACTCCATTTTCTCAGAAAATATTGGGAATACAATACAGTTATTTTTAGCATTACACTGCACCAAACCAAGTTGATATACGTGTCCTTGTTTTTTCTTGCACTAGTAATACGCTGTGACTACTTTTCTTTTGTGCTGTGACTAGTATTATCCATGTTGATGACGTCGTCATAAATTTTTTATTGGTCAAATTAACCACGAGTCGTCCTATTCTCTCGAAAATGTGAGGAATTCGCACGTCTTTATATAATAATGATAAAATAAGATTAATAATATTCAGAACATTTTGTTCGCTTGTGGTTTAATTAATAATTTTAGTCCTGTGTTTTGAGAAGACAAACTCATCCAAATCAAACTAATTTCTACATTACTAACATTTCTTCGTCCTGTAGGGGTCATGAAAGGTCCAGAAAACGTAAAAGTAGAGATTCGGCCGGCGGACTCGATTACAATACTTCCTTTGCTTACGCTTGGGAAGTAATAATAATAATAATAACAATATTCAGAACATTCTGTTCGCTGTGGCTGAATCAATAATTTGAGTGTACCGTTTTGAGGTGACAAACTCATTCAAATCAAAACAAATTTAACTTCCGAAAATCGCTATGGTAATGCATGTCTCTATTGCCGGTTGGCGATAAAAATTTGTATGCACCACGTCAGTAAAGGATCTTTATCGAACTCTCCTGTTACTCGCCTCGCTCGCTTCGCTCGCTCGGCTCATAATCTCAGACTCGTTCGATAAAGAATCACTTTACTGACTTGGTACATAAATAACTATTACATTGTCCGTACTTGTGCAATTTGCACAATCCCTTGAAATTTGCGCCCCCACAGGGGCTGCGAGAGTGTTATTTATGCCACCGGTTTTTACTTTATAGAGGTTATCACAACACAAGCATAGTAAAATCTAATTTTATAATTTTTCAAAGAAACGAGGGAAGTTTTGTCGAAAATTTTTTAGAATTGCTTATACAAGGTGACTAAAAAAAATTTAATAACTCAGTTTATTTTATTGATTAAATTAGGAACTCCAAAAACGAATAAATGCTTTAAAATTTTGCAGACACTTTAAAAATTTTCGTAAACATGATAATTTTTTAATCAAAATATACCTGTTTATCCCCTCCAAAAAATTGGAGACGTTATTTCAATATTTTGGCGAATAAATACTATCTAAAACGTGCAATATATGATGAGTCTATACCTGATTTATCATTACATTCATATTTTTAAAATTGCTTATACAGTGTGACTCAAAAAAAATGAATGAGTCAATTTATATTGTTATTATTAGTATTACACTGCACCTATCGAAATTGATATACATATCTTTATAGATATGTCGATGAGTCATTACAAAATTTTGTAAAAGAAAAACTTATGAGAAACACGCTGCTTTACATTGACTTTAATATTACATATAATTATATCTTTGTATTAACTTATATGTGTTCTCATAAAAAAATAAAATTCTCAAAATCAAACGGCGAGGGATGTTTTGTTAAAATTCAACCAATTTTTTGGTACTCTAGGGGGTCATGAAACGTCGAGAAAACATGAAAGTGGCAAGGCGCCATTTCTTAGCTTACGCTGAGGAATTAAAAATTATAAATGCTCTAAAATTAAAGGGTGTTCAATTGAAAAATCACTCAGAGTAGGCGTTGGCATATCATTTGACAGAAACGGTATGCCTGTGTTATGTTATTTGTTATAAGAACAGACATGCCGTTTCTGCCAAATGATAATCCATCGCCTACTCTGAATGATTTTTCAATTGAACACCCATTACATGTTTAGATACATCATATTTGCAAAATTTTGACATAACGTCATTGGGTATTTCAAAATCTAGATGTTCAAGGACCAAATGTGTCATTGTAAAAAATCTACAGTATCGTCTACGTTATTGTTTGAATTGCACTACAAAAAATATTTCTACGGTCAATGGAACTAATAAAACATGTCAAGTGTCGATAGTGGAGTCAGTTTACAGTAAATATTTTGATGTGTTCTAATACTTCTGTTTTCTAGTAAAATTAGTTAAGTTCTCTCATTACTCACTGCTTTACGTCAATAGCGTGAGTCCGGAAAATGACATTTCCCGGACTTTTCCGGTAAAGTAGATTACCGAACAAGTCCGGTAGAGTGTTTCTGTGACAACGCAATAAGGAAAAATAAAAGAACTATTTTTATTCATTTACTGAAACACAACTTAAAAATAACACTACATACTTTTAACTTATAAATGAATCTTACTTCAGTAATTATAGTAATAATTCATTTGATTCGTTTTTGTATGAGGAATAATGATAAATCACTAACTGGGGCTTAGTTTCTTCCAATGACATATTATGCAATTCTTATGGGCGGCTATTCCAATTATGGCTACCATCTATAATTAAAGAAAACAGCTTATAGTGTGTTTTTCTTATTATAATTTTCATCTTACTTTTATTACTTACTTCTTTCAGAAATTTGTAAATGTCTTCCCTGGTTAATGTCTTTGCCTGTTTCGGAGACAACTAACTTCGTGCTGCGGGAGATATCAACATTTTCATTGTGAAACAGGAATAATTTTATTATAGAATATTTTGGCCAAATGATGATGGACACATTTTCTCAGATTGAAAAACAGTTGATTTGTGAAATAATCATGTGACTGAACATTTAATTTGTCAGCAAATCTAAGAAGTATGCTAACATAACTTCCGTTCAAATTATTTATATAATATTTTCCGGTAGCCACTTGCAAAATTCACAAAATTGTCTTTGATATCTTTCAGACGATTTCCTCGGAATCAATTGCGCACTCGCTTCTACAGATTTTTACATTTTTTCTTTAGGAATGTTTTCGGAATTCATTTTTCTGACGAAAAAATTATTACAGTAAAACAATAAACATTTTTTGTCAAGCGACCGTTACTACCAATATTACGTGTAACAGTACGTGACCGGACTGAATTTGATTTTATTTGGAACTTGACGTATAACTGCGTCAAATTCCAAATAACGTGTTAACCATAAATCATTGTTTGTTTTTGGTAATTATGTGGCAAGGAATTTCTATAATCTCATTCCAAAATTGGTATCTAATCAGTTATACTCTTATCATATAAAATATTGCATTGTTTACAATTTTTAGAAGTGATGATTGATTCATTCTCATACTTTTTGGAAATGAAAATCAGTATATACAGGGTGTTTCTTTTATTTGATACAACCCCGGTAACTGTTTTATTCTTAAAGATAAACATGTAGTTCTTTGAATAAATGTATCATTTTAAAAGATCTATGTGATGGCAACCTCCCATTTATATTATCACTTCCGGTAGAACCGGAAATGACATCAACTTTATTTTTTTTTATGGAACACTAGGTATATTTTTTCATAAATGGAAAGACGGATGTTTTCTAAAAATCAAACGCAAGCAATATTTCTAAAATCAATACTTAAAAAATTATTAAATAAAATACATACACGAAAAATTCATATTAATTGATGACAATCTAGTAGCGTGAAAAATTGACACTCATGTCATTTATTCACATAGGTGATCTTTTAAAATGATACAAATTTGGTCAAAGAACTATATGTTTATTTAAAAAAAAAAAAATTACGGGGGTTGTATCAAATAAAAGAAACACGCGGTATAGTTATAGCAGCTACAATTTTATGATCCATACTGTTTTGCTAGCATACTTGAAACCTAAATGTCTACAATTAAGAGCATTTTGGAATGCGTATTGTTAGTGGTTTGTTTCTTAGTTTTGGCAGTTATTTATATAAATTCTAGGAAAGCACTACTGTTAGCGCCTTCACATTCCAACCGATACCCTTCCCGGAATTAGGGACTCTCTACCTCTCGGCTTCTTTTGCACCTTCCAAGAATCGTACGCGGTACATTACACAAAAGCGAGTTGCGTGTCGATATAATGAAATTCCTGGGGACTTTTCAGCAAGAAAAAGAAATTCCATTTCAGATTAATTCAGAAAGAACGCAGCACAAAGGAATGGAACGGCGCCGTGAATGTTTACAGTCGTTAAAAGTAAATGAAATTACTGTAATTGAAGCGATAAAACGATGATTGTAACTTTATTAATCAGTGAGCCGTATGTGTCATTTAATGAGAAATTAGAAGAAAGTAGAACTGGAACTGCAATATTTTACAGAATAGGTAGTTTAATCATTGGCATTTGATTAACTCATGAAATCGCTCGTAGTATTTATTCATAATACATATATTCAATTGTGTGTAAATAATATAATTACTTATCGTCAATGTATACTTGTGGTGTGGGATACAAAGAAATACCCTATCCCTACTTATTAAATTACATGGTATAATAATAAAAGTTGTCTCATGCACCGCCGTTTTTAACGTTATTGCAGGATCTATGAAAAACTGAGAACAGCTGGTTTAAAAAAAAAGTTGACGAATGCGATTGGTCGAAAGTTATTTCGACAGAACTTCCCTCGCACCTAAAGTACAATGAAACATTCAGTATTTTCGAAAAACTATAAAATTTGATGTTGCTAATTTTATTTTTTATAAGAACACATTTAAGTTGAAATAAAGATATGTACATAATCTTAAGGTAAAAAATGCTAAGCGGATGTTTCAAATTCAACATTTTTGCAAGGACACGTATATGTCAACTTGGATTGGTGCAGTGTAATATTTAAAATAACAGTATTGTATTCCCAAAATCTTCTGGGAAAATGGACTGAGCGTTTCCTCATTTAATCAATAAAATAAATTGACTCATTCATTCATTTTTTTTTGAGCGACCTGTATAAGCAAGTCTAATTTTGCATATTTTAATTAGGATTTATTCGGCAAAGTTTTGAGATGACATCATCAATTTTTATTAGACATGTAATAATCTCCGAAACTACTGGACTGATTCTTGTCTGATTTTGTATGGATATCATGTAGATGGTAAAACGCCAACAAAACTCTGTCTAATCATCCCACCAATGTGATGAGTTGATGACGTCCCCTCAAAATTGTATTGTTGTCCAAGTCTGACTTCGTTTTTATGGCACTACAATCTCAATTACCGCAAGCATTAGGAACTCTATTGAAAATGTCAATATCCGTGTCATAAATCATCTTAAGGACCGGCTCTGTTTTTATTCAATGAAGGTAAGGGTAGTGGACAAAAACCTCGTAATTAGTAATAACAAATACAAATACATAACACATATAGCTACCAGGATAGTTAAAAAATTGCTTAAACAATTAGTTATCGAATAATAAGGTGAGGTACATAACAACATGTTGGGAGAAAGTACGGCCCTGTTAGTGTATAGTCTATTTCAAAACTCCTTTCGCCTAAGCCATAAACCGGGGTGATTGTAAATCAACAATTATCACTCAGTAAGTAGGCTTTTACCGCGCTTCTTTTGTTAAAGAACAAGCTGTCCCCTTCTTTTCACAGGTAAGCGTTGAAGGTAAGGGTTTCCTTGTCTTTCGATATAGGGCAAACGAGTTGAAGCAAGAAAACCATAGTGCACTTTCAGCATGGTTATATGATATAGCGATTTACTCAATGCTTAAAGCAGTCACGTTAAAAATGTCGAAGAACTGCATTTACATGTACAAGAGAAACTGAAATAGCATTTTTTTTAAAGATAACCTATTTCTGTATTATTTACAATTAATAAAACAAAATGAATCGTTTGCTCCATTGTGGCAATGATTTTTGAGAATATATTGGAATCTGTCAATCTTTGAGACAGTTTATGGCTTAAGCGAACGGAGTTCTGAAATAGACTATAGACAGTTGGTCTCTTGATGGTTTACAACCGCTGGATTACTTGCGGCCGAGGCCTATTGGAGTGGAAGACTTAACTCCTTCACAATAGGATGTAGTCGTAAAAACGAACCAGCACTTAGAACACTATACATAGTAAATGGGTTTTAAATTGTAAAAATAACATAGTCCTACACATTTAGCTTATGACTCACTGTTGAGTTTTTGCCCGAAACGTCCAGATTTTTGGAAAAAATCAATTATAAAATATTTTGCAATTTAATTTTGAATCTGATGATGATACGCATGATAAATGTTTGATTAAATTGTATCTGTTTATCACAGTGGCGTAACAATCAAACTGCGGGCCTGTGTTCTACAACACTGTGGGGCCCCTAATGAACAGCGAAATAAAAATATTTAAAAATACTAGTATAATGAATAAAGAATGAGTAGATTGCAATTAGCGCTAACGTTTTATTAAAATCATTCTACCTGAAACATTGAATTAAAAAAATAAAATACAATAATTACCTGAAGACATATAATTAAAATATATACAATATCAGAAACTAGCCGACCCGACAAACGTTGTTTTGGCATTTCTAGTGAATATTTTGGTACATAGTTAAATAAAAAATTAAATTAAAATAAATACATAAAAATTTATCGTACGACAATGATTATTTATATTCAATGGCCATCTTGCAACCCTATTGCGCATCTGTGGATGAAAGCAAAGATACTCATGTCGTTATTAAAAAATGGGGGTTGGTGGTAGAAGGGTCAAAATTTAGGGTTATATGTATTTTTTGATGCCAAATCTTCAAAAAATAAAAATAAAAAATGTTGTCTAAAAAATAAAAAAAGTTTGGTGGGTCACCCTTATCACTTATTAGGGATTTAAAAAATAGTTTACTATACCTACCGAATATACACAAAAAATTTAATAAAAATTGGTCAAGGCGTTTCGGAGGAGATTGGTTACAAACACTGTGACACCAGAATTTTATATTAGATTATTTTAGAAACAAAAATCATTACCATAAAAAAGGTTATACTGAGTCGACCTTAAAAGATTGGCGTATGCTGTTGCGGACTTTTTTTTAGAACTTTTAGAAGGGAACAATTCCATCATACATGATTTTTATGTAACTTTAACCGTTTAATAAGCAGCGTAAGCAACGGAAGCTGTCAAAGGACGAATAATTTTCCCGTTTTTCCGATATTTTTCATTGCTGCTCCGCTCCTATTAATCATAGGGTGATGTTATATAGCCTATAACCTTCCTCGATAAACGGACTTTCCAACACAAAAAGATTTTTTGAATTCAAACCAGTAGTTTCTGAGATTGGCGCGTTCAACCAAACAAACTCTTCAACTTTATAATATAAGTAATTATAGAAGTATAGATGAAATGCCCATGCAAAGAAAATTTCAGTGGTAGTGCGAATTTTTAGTTTTTTTACTTTATTCGTGTTGTCAATGACAGTGTGAATGAAGTGTTGCTATAAACAAAGTCTGATAGAAATATCTCGAATTGTTAAACAAAACACTGGTAGACCTAGATTACTGAAAGTAGTGTTTAACAATCCACATGTTGTTCAGAATATTTTACGCCTTAAACAGCAGAAAGGAATTTACATCAATGCAGATTTAACTCACAGAGAAATAGCGGATATGCTGTTCGGAAAGACTTCAGGGAGAGACGTGGGAAAGGAGAAGAGAATATTCATTTAAAATATTATAAAGGAATCACAAAGATAGTTACAACAACAAATCCACAAAAAAACTAATAAATTTCCAGCAGGCAAATACACAATGTATTTCATTAGATAATAGTTTAGTAGTGTACCAGAACGTTCGTGGGTTAAACACCAAAATTAGTGAATTTTATGTAAATTGTTGTGATTCTGATGTAGACATCATTTTTTTAACGGAAACATGGTTAACTCCGAATGTACAATCTAACGAACTGTTTCCTCCAAATTTTAATGTACTGAGAAGAGACAGGCTTACGGGTAGAAGAGGAGGAGTGTTGGTTGCTGCAAAAAATAAAATTAAAATTCAGGAACTTGACTTGAAATCGCCAGTTTTAAATGTTGAAATTTTGGGTTTAAAGATAGTAGAAAAACAGTGTCACCTTACAATAATTCTTATATATATTCCTCCATCTACAGCAACGTATGAGTATGTGCAGTTATTTGACATTATCGAAAACTCTGTTGATTTCTCGTGTCCAGTTATGATCATTGGCGATTTCAATATAACCGAATTGGAAGAATGCGTATCAGGAGTAAGATATACAAATTTAGTCAATATATTTCAACAGTTTTTGGCTGTCAACAATATGCAGCAGAAGAATAGAGTGCTTAATAGTAATGGAAGAATATTAGATTTAGTACTGTCGACTGATCACTTTGTTACCGAGGTTTCAAGGTATGATTTTCCATTAGTACCGGAGGATTCACATCATCCATCCTTGATAATAAGTTTAATAGGGAACAGATCTCAGGATTCTTCGTTTTCAGAAGAGAACAATTCATTTGAACATAATTTTTACAAAGCCAATTTCGAAAAACCGTATTTGTATAGACTAGCTATAGAGCTCGCACAGATTGGTCCGATGTACTAAATTGCGAAAATGTTAATTTGACATGTCAAGTTTTCTATGAGAAACTTTATCAGCTGTTCAGGAAGTTCGTGCCTGTGCGTAAGAGAGGCGATAGTGAAAATGTTTTTCCTGCGTGGTTTACACATTCGACTATCAAAAAAGTGAAACAGAAAAATGTGCACTGGAATAAGTACAGAAAAACTAAGTCATTATACCACTTGGATATGGTTAAAATGCTGAAAAGAGAAATAAGACGGGACACTAAATTGGAATATAAAACGCTCATTCGCAAGATAGAAAATATGCTACAGCAAGACCCAAAAAAATTCTGGTCGTTTGTCAATCAGAAGAGGAAAACTACAAGTGTACCAGCTCAAATGTTATGGAAAGACATCAGGTTAACTTCTCAGCAAGATATCGTTAACGCATTTGGCCAACAATTCGCCAGTGCGTTCAGTAAGTTAAATGGTCATATCTGTGATAACAAATGCTGTGATAATGGCTCAGTCTTATGTGAATTTTGTTCCACCGCTTGTTGTCCAACTGTCTGTGATATTGAAGTCTGTGATAATGTTCCTACACTAAGTATGTTTGTAATAGAAGACTGTGATATTTTAAAGGCTACAAAGAAAATGAAAAGCAAAAACACTCGTGGTCCTGATGAAGTACCTGCATTTTTATTAACTGATTGTATTGTGTCATTTCTAGTTCCACTTCGTCATGTTTTTAATTTAATTTTAAGTACCTTGGTATACCCCGAAACTTGGAAAACATCGTGCGTAATTCCTATATTTAAAGCTGGGGATAAGGCAAATGTAAACAACTATAGAGCAGTGGGATTATTATCGAATTTTGCATAAAAACTATTTGAATCGATATGTTCTGAAGTCATTTATTCGCATGTAATTTCTAATATAGCGTCAGAGCAACACGGATTCGTTAAAGGGCGGTCTACAGCTACAAACTTGTGTGAATTCACGCAGTTTGTATCAACAGCTCTTGATAATCGACAACAAGTAGACGTCATATACACTGACCTATCTAAGGCGTTTGATAGAGTCCACCACTGCATATTATTGAAAAAATTAATCGTAATGATGAGGTCTTTATTAACGGGAAGAAAACAGTTTGTTCAACATCGTGGATTTAGGTCTCTACATACTTAGTAACCAGTGGAGTTGTGCAGGGATCTAATTTAGGACCTTTAATGTTTATCATCTTTTACAACGATGTGGTCAATTCAATTTCTTGAAGGATGTTCATTTATGCAGATGATTTGAAGTTTGCAAGTGTTATAGATAGCAAAGAGGATTGTTTAAAATTGCAAGAAAACATCGACAAAACATTAATGTGGGGTCAAAAAAACCGATTAAATTTAAACAAAGACAAGTGTAAAATTATCTCATTTTCGGGGAAAAATAGTAACATCGCATTTTTTTATAATATAAATGGGTTTGTATTGCAAAAATGTGATCAACTGTTAGATTTAGGTGTTGTTATAGATAAGTCCATGTCATTCACTCCTCATATTTTAAAAATAACTAATGATGCCATAAAAACGTTAGGATTTGTATGTATACAAAGGATTTCACAAACTTACAATGTATTAAGACCTTATTTTATGCTTTAATTCGATCTAAGTTAGAGTATTGTTGTGTTATTTGGAAACTATATAATCATAATTATATCAATCTAATGGAAAACATATTGCGTAAGTTTTCAAAATATATTTATTTTAAAAAGTACAATCGATACCCAGAGAGACATTGTGACCAAAGAAATCTTTTGTTAACAGTCCAAGAGAGCTCTCTTAACGCGAGAAGAAATGTTTTATCACTAATTTTCTTGCAAAAGATTTTAACAGGCCAAATAAAATGTTCAGCATTGCTAGAGAACATTAATATTAACGTCCCAAGGTTTAATAGTAGATGTCCTCTTACTTTCAATTATGATGTTCCAAACACCTATCATCATTACAATAGTCCTGTACTTAAGTGTTGTAGATTGTATAACCATATTTCAAACAAAAATGATGTAGATGTTGACATTTTTTTCCAAAATTTTAGTAAGAACAAAAAAATTTTGTTAGCCTTATGTGAAAATTGTGTATTATGATGTACAGCCTTTAGTGTTGGAAAGTAATCCACTATAGACTATTGTCTGCTGGAATAAATACTATTATTATTCATCCTTTCGATTAAACTATTGTTTTAATAGCGAGATTTAACATACAAAATGAGCATTTTATTAGTAGAAATTGGAAAAAGTATATTATTTCCATGGGACAAACGTTCAGAGTCCATTGCTATGCTGCTGTAACCACAATTTTCATTTTAAGCTTATTGTTACTTCCAAATTTCTTACGTGTTAAATCAAATCCTCATCGTTGGCATTAGCTACTGTGGGTATATTTCGGTAATATTTCTGGGCGGCTGCTACAAGAATCTTCCCAAAAACTGAAGATTTTCGAATTTTTCCTTCAAAATTGGTATATGATCTTTGTATAAGCCCTCTCATGTTGTTGACTACCAAAGAAAAACATCGGTGCCCGTTCTGAGCATTTGTGTTGGACTTTGATCTTTTTATCATTATACTGAGGAGAAATTTTTGACTAAATTGGGAATATATGTAGAGAGTGAAACGCAAAAAGTAGAGACACACCATGATGGAGATATCGTCCGTAAATTTTTTGAAAACCCTCAAGTAACTAACGGCAGAAATAATTGGACTCGACGAGCAGCTTATCCGAAGATTTGCTGTTTTATTGCAGGCAATATTTTCTAGGAAAACCATCAACGCACAAAAATTTGGACAGTGCGGCAAAGAAACAGCTGCGCTATTTGTAACCAAAAACCCAGGGTATTATAGTTTTTGCAAACTACCACCGGACAGTGGAGATCATAAAAATTAAGCAACAAAGACGACTCTAATCGGATTACAACGTGCCAAAAATTATGACACCATCTCTTTTAGCCGGTCGCTGGGCGGTTTAGCTGGAAAATCCTAGAAACGATACTCACGACAGAACTTGTTATTACGTTTTCTACATTTACAATAATGTCATTATTAGTACTACACTGCACCTATCCAAATTGATATACGTATCCTTGTGTTGATGACGTCATCACAAAATTTTGTAATGGAAAAACTACTTGGAACAAACGCGTAGCTCGCCTCTTTATTTTTACTTTAACATTACATATATATCTTTATTTTAACTTATAGGTTCTAATAAAAAAAAAATCAAAAATCAAATTTTATAATTTTTCGAAAAAGGTTTATATGTTTTATTGTACTTCAGAGCGAGAGAAGTTCCGTCGAAGTAACCTTCGATTAATTTTTAATATCTTTTACTTCCCGAAGGTTAGCTAATTTCTTATATGGAATCCTTGAATTTTAGAAGCAAATTTTCATTACATGTTAGCATCTTATTTTGTACTGGAGTACTAAATTGATGATTTATATTGTAGGAAGAAGTAGACCAGAGACACCATACTTCTTTCCCCAAAAAGCGTGAAGTCAGCGAACGTGAAGTTCAAGAACACATGACGGGAGAAGTGGCGTTGTCAGCTTTAGGTATAGGTCTAAATGTAGAAAGAGTAAAAAGAGCAATCCGCGAGAAGTTAGAGCAAACAGGACGTGGATACTCCCAACCTGACGCTTTAGTAGAAGCCGCCTTAAATCTCCAACACAGCGAAGAAGATCTATCAGAAGATCAAGAGTCTTCAGGCGTGTTTCAAGTGAAGAATGTTGTAGACAGTGTCTTAGATAATGTTGTAAGAAGTTGCTCCGGTGATATTAAAAAAGAAACTGATGCGTCTGTAGATAGTAATCAGATTAATGCGCATAAAGAATCTTCTAAGATTGGTAAAACTATCTCATTGGAAGAAGAAAATCGTATTCTCAAAGAAGCAAGGCTTTGTAAAATCTGTATGGATGCCGAAGTCGGCATTGTGTTTTTACCATGTGGACATCTGACAACCTGTGTTAATTGCGCACCTAATCTGGAAGATTGCCCACTTTGTAGATCCGCCATCAAGGCTACTGTTAGAACGTTTTTGTCATAATTTATTAATTCAATAAATTTATTTTATAAACTATTGTTTCCTTATACATTCATCGTTATTTGATCAGATACTGAAAAGCTCATTGTCATAAGAATACAGTGTTCCCAAATCCAAAGCATAATAATCAACGCGCGGAATTATGTTTCATACGCTAGATCCAGTGCTGTCGCGGCGATAGTTTGATTACAAATATATTTTTCTTTTGGACTATATCAACATAATATAACATTTCAAGATCACAAATCTGTCGTCCTGTGTTTGAAAAATTAAAAAGGGCATCGAGTATTATTATTTGAAGTAATACGGTAATATAGAAGTACTTTTTTAACAAGCTGTAAACACTCCTAGCGACGCACTGGCTACGACCTTGTGGACCAGATCAAAGCGTCCCCGCTACTCGCCGTAAAACACACCTTACTTCAACTGGGGGATTGCAGCGATGAGATAGATTCTCGCGTACTGATATAATATTCAAAGGTAATGCCTAACCAATTAATTTTGCGCCTTATGTTTTATTATTTTTACCTTACTTCCCGAACGTAAGCGAAGGAAGTACTGTAATCGTGTCCGTCGGCCGACTCTCTACCTACTTTTACGTTTTCATGATCTTTCATGACCCCTAGAGTACGAAGAAATGGGTCTCCCGCTTCCGTCTGTCTGCCGTCCCGATTTTTATTAGACAGACAATCTCCGAAAGTACAGGGTCGATTGTTGTCAAATTTTGTACTTCATTAGGAATATCATTTAAATGGTAAAACGGTAACCAAAATTTGTGTAATCATCCCCACCACTAATGCGATGGCGTCACTTCAACATTGTACATAGTAAATGGGTTTTAAATTGTATAAAATAGCATAGTCCTACACATGTAGTTTACGACTCCGAATTGAGTTTTTACCCGAAACCTCCAGATTTTTGGAAAAGAAATCAAAATTATAAAACAACGTGCGCTAACCCGAATGCTTTGAAATGTTGCAAGATGTTTTAAGGCTATAAAGAGCATCATAAGCCTTTAGTCAAAATATATTTGGTTATCCCCTCCAAAAACATGATGACGTCAGCTCAAAACCAGCCCCGTAGCTAGAAAACTCATTCAGGGGGGGCAAGTTTGTCGACAGAAGGGGCTTCATGTAAATATATATATTTTAATAATACACTCAGATAACTACTTTATTTTTTCTCAGTTTTTACATTTGAAAGAATATTAATAATAATTTTTTAACGTTCGTTAACTTTAAAAAAATAATTGTAAACATCGATTTTTTACACTATTAAATTTTCGTAAAAACCTGTCGAAGTCCAAAGAATTGGTACGGTACTTTTCAAAAGCCAGAAAAACCAAGTTTGCCAATCTTTGATGTGTCATTGAATGCGCCGGGCAATCTATTCTGGTTAAAACAGAGAATGTAGATTCACAAACAGATGATATACTGCATCCAAAAATTCGTGCAGTGGCCAATAACACTGGGTTGGTAACAACCAATTTGTTTGAGTTTATTTTTTTACATGTTTAATAGTAGGCTATGGAATAAAATGTGACAAAACAGTTCATTTTTTTATACGGTCAACATCAAAGTTAGGGTGATATTGTCAAATAACATACCCTTTAAGAAAATAAAGGGCGGGCGGGTGGGGCTAGTAAAGATGCTCCGACATTATATTGAAATTTTATTACAAATTTGAAATTTATAATGTGTAAATCGTCCAGGGGGGGCTCAGCCCCATCTTGCCCCCCGTAGCTACGGGGCTGTTCAAAACTTTGCCGAATAAATCCTATCTAAAATATCCAAAATATGATGAGTCTGTACTTGTTATCTATCACTCCATTCATATTTTTTGGATTTGCATATACAGGATGACTCAAAAAAATTAATGAATGCGTAAATTTCTTTTACTGATTTACTCAGGAACTACAAAACCGAATGCTTTGAAATGGGCAGATGTTTTAATGTTATAAAGAGCATAATAAATGTTTAGTCAAAATATATTTGGAATAATAATCCATAGTAGTACCTATGGACTCATGTCTTATATCATGTATGGACTGATCATATTTTGTATATTTTAGATAGGATTTATTCGGCAAAATTTTGAGGTAATGTCATCAAATTTAGAGGGGGGGATAAGCATCTGCAAGATTTTAAAGCATTCGGTTTTGCAGATTCAAAATTAAATTGCGAAATGTGCTATAATTTTGTTTCTTTTTTCAAAAATCTGGACCTTTCGTGTAAAAACTCAACATGGATTCATAAACTACACGTGTAGAACTGTGTTATTTTATACAATTTAAAACCCATTTACTATGTACAATTTTGAGGTGACATCATCACATTATTGGTGGGGGTTAGACAAAGTTTGGTTGGCATTTCACCATCTACACGATATTCAAAATACACATATAAAATTTGCCAACAATCGGACCAGTAATTTGGGAAATTACCTGCATAACAAAAATCGTCATTCTTAATTGCTAGCACCTACTTGTTTAACTTTGACTGTTTATGTTTACACTTCAAAAGAATGCGACTATTACCACGTCATACCGTATCAGCGGCGGCATTGAAGTATGTAACCCCGACATTAAATGCATGCATTTGCATATGTGTTGAAAGAAACTGAAATTTGATTGATTTTGTCTCTTCGATACAGAAGAGAGGATCAATTAATTAACTAAGCACACTCGATGTTTTTCTCCAAAAATTATAGATAATTGACCCTTTTCCTGTAAGATCGTAAAACTTCGATAGTGACTCCGTGCGCACGCATCTTCAAAACCACCTTGGAAATCGTATCCGGCAGCAGAGAAAATGCCTGTGAGAAACCGCTTTTGAAGATATGATCTAAGTTTTGAAGTTGACAGAATGCAGCCAGAAACACATGTGTAATTTATCGCTCATTGGTTAATTTTAACTTGGCGCTGCAGAAAATCGCCTGCGCCATTTTGTCTCACTCACTACATCACTGTAATTTATATGTATAATGTCGACTCACTTTGCTTATACTATAAGGGTCAATAGGAAACGCGAGAAAATGCCGGTGGCGCCCTCGCACGGCCGATTGCTCAACGGATGACATAATCACAGATAATGACGGCTGAATGTTGCGTATAGGATTGTATGTGTGTTTACAGTATATAATCAGTGTTTTTACGGATTTATTAGTTACTAGTGTCAGAAGAAGTTGATAAAAGATAATTTTATTGGCGTAGTTTGAGTTGAAATGGAGCCAACAAAATTAAACACCAGTTTTCGGGTTAGTTGCACTAATTGTTGCGTCGTCGGTTGTCAGAACAATTACACGAATACGGATAAAAGTGTCAGCTTTTATGGATTTCCTTCATTACCACACGAGAAACTACGACGTACACAATGGATAAATGCTGTTAAGAACCAAAAGTACCTAAACTATCCCAAAGTCAAGTTCATTTCTGTGACTTACGCGCGTTAACCTCTAAAATAGAAATGTCTTTTCGAATGGAGGATAAAATTCAATTCCACTAAAATGTGTTTAAAAAAATTCAAAGTGATGAACATCATACCAATACACATAAAAAACAGTAAAATAAACCTTCTACCCAAAAATGTTTGTTCAAAATTGAGGTAGACCGTCCGAATGTCACAAAACTGGATATCAAAAATTGTACAAATAATATGGTTATAAACACCCGTTAATTGATACCGATAATACTGCTTATAGGTCTGATAGCAAAAAAAGTTGGGAACCAAAACCATATTCTAGAATTTGCAGTCAGCATTTCATTGGAAATAAGAAATCAAACCACCCTCATAATCCAGTATTTATCCCTACAATATTTCCAGAGGTACATGTTTGCAAATTATTTTACTTATGTTACCACAGAATAGGAGGGTGAATTGACGTTGGTTTGTCGCATTACGTTTGCCCTTATGATGCCAGGCGCGGATCCAGGGGGGGGGGCAATGGGTGCAATTGCCCCCCCCCTGACACACGACCGAGGTACTTTATTTTGAACAATTTCAAAATTTTGAAATCGCATTTCATTTTGTAAATACAGTACAACCTGTATAATCCGAATTCACGATTATCCGAACATCCAGTAATCCGAACAGAGGCTATTTGAAGTCGATGCTTCTTTAATCCGAACTTGGAAACACGCACCTACTTGCAAAAATGACGCAAAATCTTTCTGCATGTGTTGTATGGAATATTTTGAAATTTTTAAAAATTGCGATATTTCAGTTCACTGAATTAATTAACTAATTCTGGAAAAAAGGTTCAAGTTATCGAAGAAATGAGGCCCGAAATCTACAAGAAAAAGTATTTAGTTAAATTTCGAAAATCGTCGAAAATGGGTCGAAATTTGCATGAGGAAAATTTCATTTTTGAAAAAGTTTCTTAAAAATTCTGAAAAAATTCAGGGGTATATGTATATCCCGACGTGCTGATTCCAAAAAAATAGCTTGTTAATGGTAATCGAGCAATATTTTCGGAAAATTCGGTGTGAAATTTGAATTTTTCGAAATTTTTAAAAATTGCGATATTTCAACTGGCCAAATCTGGAAAAATGGTTTAAGTTATCGAAGAAATGAAGCCAGAGGTGACTTCTGAGGCCCAAATCTACAAGAAAATGTATTTAGTTAAATTTCGAAAATCGTCGAGAATGGGTCGAAATTTGCATATTGGTGGTAATACATATTGGAAAATTTCATTTTTGAAAAATTCATCTAAAAATTCTGAAAAAATTAAGGTATAGATCCCGACGTGTTGATTCCAAAAAGAGCGTGTTTATGGTCACGGAGTAATATTTTTTTAGAATGTATCCATTATCCATTGTTGTTCAAGAATTCTTTAATTTTGTTTAATAAAATTAAGGTTTCTTTCTTGAAGTTTGTTTTCAACTGTGTACGACGTTTTTATTCAATTCCCTTTCAGATTTTTGGGAAAATCACTGATCCAAACAAATCGTTAATCCGAACATACCTTTTTCCCAATTAATTCGGATTATCGAGGTTCTACTGTACACTATACGTGTAACGAAAACAACCAAATGTCAC